TGATTTTTCAATTTTACAATTTTGCAGTTCTTCCATTTTTTTATTTGAAGCTAAAAAATCGAAAAGTCAGAAAATTGAACAATCGAAATATTGAAAAATCCCAAAATTAAAATATCGAAAAAGTAAAAAATCGAGAAATCGAAAAGTCGAAAAATCGAATAATCGAATTATTGAAAAATCCCAAAACTGCAATTTCGAAAAATTGAGAAATCGAGAAATCGAAACATCAAAAGATCGAAAATTGGAAAATTTGAAATTTAAAAATCGAAAAATGGCAAAATCGAAAAGTCGAAAAATCGAATAATCTGAATACATATTGAAAAATCTCCAAACTGGATTATTTAAAAATTGAAAAATGAAAGTAACTAGAAAAAACTCAGAACTAAAATATCGGAAAATTGAGTAATGGAAAAATTGAAAAATCGAGAAATCGAAAAGTCGAAAAAGCCAAGTCGAAAATCCTAAAAATTGAAAAATCAAAAACTTGAAAATTGAAAAATTGAAGAATCGGAAACTCTAAAGATCGAAACATTGAAAATTCGAGAAATAAAAAAATCAAAAAATTAATTAATCAAGAAACGTTAAAAATTGAAAAATCGAAAAATTAAGAAATCGAGAAATCGAAAATTTGAAGAACCGAGAAATTGAAGAATCGAAAAATTGAAAAATCCCGACACTGAAATATGGAAAAATTGAAAATCGAGAGACCAGAAATCGAAAATCCAACATTTTAAAACTACAAAAATCGAAAAGCTGTAAAATCGAGGTTTTTGCAGTTTTTCGAATTTTAAGTTTCTCAATTTTTAATCTTTCGATTTTTCAATTTTTCGTTTCTTGAATTTTTATCAACTTCTTAATTTCCAATTTTTAGATTTTTCAGTTTTCACTTTATACTTTTTCGTTTTCTCATACTTGATTTTTCAATTTTACAATGCTTCCATTTTTTTATTCGAAGTTAAAAAATAGAAAAGTCGAAAAATTGAATAACCCAAATACATATTGAAAAATCCCAAAATTAAAATATCGAAAAATTGTAAATCGAGAAATCGACACATCAAAAGATCGAAAATTGGAAAATCTGAAATTTAAAAATTGAGAAATGGCAAAATCGAAAAGTCGAAAAATTGAAAAATGAAAGAAAAATTGAAAAAACTCAGAACTAAAATATCGGAAAATTGAGTAATGGAAAAATTGAAAAGTCGAGAAATCGAAGAGTCGAAAAACCCAAGTCGAAAATTCTAAAAATTGAAAAATTAAAAACCTGAAAATCGAAAAATTGAAGAATCGAAAAGTCTGAAGATCGAAACATTGAAAATTCGAGAAATAGGAAAATCAAAACATTAAGAAATCGAAACATTGAAAATTTAGAAACGTTAAAAATTGAAAAATCGAAAAATTAAGAAATATAGAAATCGTAAATTTGAAGAACCGAGGAATTGAAGAATCGAAAAATTGAAAACTCCCGACACTAAAATGTGGAGAAATTGAAAATCGAGAGACCAGAAATCGAAAATCCAAAATTTATAAAACTGCTTAAATTAAAAAGTCGAAAAATTGAACAATCGAAATTCGAAATATGTATTGAAAAATCCTAAAATTAAAATATGAAAAATTAAAAATCGAGCAATCGAAAAGTTGAAAAATCGAATAATCGAATTATTGGAGAATCCCAAAACTACAATTTCGAAAAATCGAGTCATCAAAACATCAGAATGTCGAAAATTGAAAATTCTAAAATTTAAAAAACGAAAAAGTGAAAAATCAAAAAATAAAACATCGAAAACTCGAAAAATCGAATAATCTGAATACATATTGAAGAATCTCTAAACTGACTTATCGAAAAATTGAAAAATGAAAAAAAAATTTAAAAAAACCCAGAAATAAAATATCGGAAAATTGAGTACTAATCGAGAAACTGAAAAATCGAGAAATCGAAAAGTCGAAAAAGCCAAGGCGAAAACTCGAAAAATTGAAAAATCAAAAACCTGAAAATTGAAAAATTGAAGAATCGAAAAATTAAGAAATCGAGAAGTCCAAAATTTGAAGAACCGAGAAATTGAAGCATCGAAAAATTGAAAAATCCTAACACTGAAATACCAAAAAATTGAAAATCGAAAAGTCGAAAAATCGAAAAAACCCAGAAATCGAAAATCCAAAATTTAAAAAACTGAAAACATTGAAAAAGTCGGAAAATTGACGGATCGAAAAACTGTAAAATCGAGGTTTTTTAAGTTTATCAATTTTTAATCTTTCGATTTTTCAATTTGTCGTTTCTTCAATTTCTTGATTTCCAATTTTTAGATTTTTCAATTTTGATTTTATATTTTTTCGTTTTTCATATTTGATTTTTCAATTTTACAATTTTGCAATGTTTCCACTTTTTTATTCGAACTTGAAAAATCGAAAAATTGAAAAATCAAAAAAACTAAAAAATTGAGAAAAACTGAACAACCGAAAAACTGTAAAAACGAAAAATTGCAAAATTGATAAATCGATAAATCGAAAAATCGAAAATTAAAAACCGAAAAATTAAAATATCAAAACATTGAAAAATCCAGAAATTCGAAAGTTTCCAAAATTGAAATATTGAAAAATCGAGAAATCTAAAAATCGAAAAATTAAAAAACTGAACTATTAGAAAATCGAAACATCAAAAGATCGAGAAATCCTAAAGTGGAGGAGTCGAAAAGCTGAAAAATTGAGAAATTGAAATAAGCCAAAATTGAAAAGTTAAAAATTTAAAAATTTAAAATTAAAAATTTTGTAAATAAAAAAATTGAAAAATCGAGAAATTGACAACTGTATTTAATAATAATAGACTTTATTAACAGACTTTTAGCTATTTACATAAATTAACATGTCGAAAAATTGTGAAGTCCAGAAATCGGAACGTTAAAATATCTAAAAATCGAAAAGTCGAAAAATTGAATAATCGAAATAATAATGATAATAATAAATAATAATAATCTGTTGGAAAATAAATTAACAATATTATTATTATTATTATATTGAAAAATCCCAAAACTTAATACGGAAAAATTAAAAATCGAATTTACGAAATATTGAAAAATCCCGGAACTAAAACCTCGGAAAATTGAGTAATCGAAGAATTGAAAAGTCGAGAAATCGAAAAGTCGAAAAACCGAAGTCGAAAAATCTAAAAATAGAAAAATCGAAAAATTGAAGAATTAGGAAGTCTAAAAGTCGAGACATCGGGAAATGGGAAAATCAAAAAATCAACTAAACGATTAATTGAAAAATCGAAAAATAAGAATCGAACAATTGAAAAATCGTAGAACATCGGAAAAATGAAAAATATCTAAAAATGAAGAAATCGCGAAATCGAAAATTTGATGAACCGAGAAATTGAAGAATCGACATTTGAAAAATCCCTACACTGAAATACCGAAAAATTGAAAATCCCAGAAATCGAAAATCCCAATTTAAAAAACTCCAAAAATAGAAAAGTCGGAAAATTGAGGAATCGAAAAACTGTAAAATCGATCAAGGTTGTTGCAGTTTTTCGATTTTTAAGTTTCTCAATTTTGAATCTTTCGATTTTTCAATTTTTCGTTTCTTCAATTTTTCAACTTCTTGATTTGTAAATTTTAGATTTTTCAGTTTTCATTTTATACTTTTTCGTTTTTCTTATTTGATTTTTCAGTTTTATAATTTTGCATTTTTATTCGAAAAATCCCGAAATTAAAATATCGAAAAATTAAAAATCTAGAAATCGAAAAAGTAAAAAATCGAGAAATCGGAAAGTCGAAAAATCAAATAATCTGATTACAAATTGAAAAATCCCAGAAGCAAAACGTCGGAAAATTGAGTAATGGAAAAATTGAAAAATCGAAAAAGTTTCTTAATTTTTAATCTTAAAAAATCTGAGGGTTTTAAACTTTCGATTTTTCAATTTTTCAAATTCTTGATTTCCGATTTTTAGAATTTTCAGGAAAAGCTATAAATCGAAAAAAAAATATATGAAAAATTGGAAATAAGAAAAACGAATTGAATCGAAAAACTGAAAAATCCAAAAATTGAAAAACTAAAGGAAATAAAACACCGAAATGAAAAATTGAAAATTTAAAGATTGAAAACTCGTGAAACCCTAAAAATGGAAACATTCAAAGTTGAAAAATCGATCGAAGGAGTTGCATATCGTATGCAGTAAAATTAAAGAAACAAAAAAACGAAAAACTGAAAAATTGCAAATCGAAAAATTGAAAAATCGCATAACATTGAAAAACTGAAAACTTTAAACTTGACGTAAAACAGCAAAAACTTAAGAAACAAAAAAAATGAACAATTGAATTTTCCTAAGAAGCGGAATTGAATTTTTATTAAGCAAATGTAGTGGCGACCAAATTATTATCTACTTTAAAAGCCTTGTTTACGTTGTTTTATTTTTTGTAAGTTTAGGTAAGAAAGCGTGTTCTCTGAAGTATAACGTCTACGTTGTTTGGACTTGGAGGTAATCGGATTATAGCTCGAAGCGCTTAAAAACCATTTAAAAATCAATTAAGTGTGTGTTGGTGTTACGTGGTAACTAATTGCTTAGATTATAGTTTCAGGAGAATGAGTGAGCATTTAAATTGACCTCTATTCGTAAAACCATTATTTAAATATTAACTGGGCTTGGAGCAAGAAACGAATAGAGAAACTTTTAAATAAACTGTTCGCTACACCCCCTTGACATTTTTTTATTAAACTACCCCCATATCATTCCAATTTCGCTATCCATTATGCTCATGCCGCATCTTCACAAAATTAATAAACAAGCACCAATAAAGCAAATCCCTTAAATCCGATTTACGCTTGCTTGCTTTAAAAACTTTCAAACGCCCTAAACCATTTATCACGGACTCGTTTTATCCAATTTTTCGCGTACTGGTAGCTAATTGTTAGAGAGCGGATTTTGGGCTACAAAAACCAAAATGGGTGATAAAAACATGGGTCAGTATTTTCATGGCACTTTTTACAGTAATTGCCTTCGTTTTCAGGCACCTGAAAGCCGAGCTGCAGAACCTGCGACGAAAAGGCGCTTTGCGGCCGTCAGCTGACTGGGACAGCACCGGACCGGATCCGGATCGGTCTTGTGGAAGATGTCGAGTCGAATTGGGTCGAGTGATCAACCGAGGGGCTTACTGTCGGGCCTGCAGACTCAAAGTGTGTAAGGGATGCAGGGAATACTCATTAAGGACGACTGATTGGGTCTGCACAGTCTGCCACAAACACATGTAAGTCGATTGGAGTTAGTTGTTTTAATAGGAGTTAGATGGAAGTTGGATGAGTTGGAATTTTTGTGAAATTATTCTTCTTATTAGAATTAGATAGGAGTAGATAATTTATGTCTTCTGCAAAATGCGCCGGTAGAAAAATGAATTTAGGCCCTTTGTTCGCTGCTTATGAAAGTCGATAAATTTTGTTTACGTTTGGTCTGGGAAAGCACTATCCATAAAGTCGAAATTAAAAATGTAGAGGGTAGAATTTTAATAAAGGTCAGGGTATATTTAATACTTGCGTCGACATTTTTCCAGTGACGAGGTTTTTGTTAAAATAAAAAAATAAACAGGATTCATAAGAGTCTTACAAATTATGTCGAGAAGACTAATCAGAGCTCCACAAGATTCTTAATTATTTCTGAAAAAAAAAATATTACGGACCTTCGAGATTCTGTAATTTTTCTTTTTCTTTTTTCAAAAACCAAGCTCTAAGAGCGCCCAAGATTCTTTCAAATTTGTAAAAAAGGCCAGAAATCCCCGAAATAGTTCAACAATTTTTTTCAAAAAAGACTCAAAAACCATTGACCCCGAGATTGTCTTAAATTTTTAAACAAAGAGATTCTTTTGTTTAAAAAAAAACCCAAGCCCCACACCGGTGTTTAGTTTATGACTCCTATGTTTCTTTTAAATTCTTTCAAAAAGACACTAACACCTCCCAGATTCTTTCAATTAAAGACATCAGGGATTCTCCAGTTAGTTCCAAAACAAAACACTAGCACCCCCCAAGATTCTTTTAAATCCTTAAAAAAGTTGTGTCAGGAATCCTTGCAATTCTTTTTAATTTCTTAAAAAAAAACAAAAGGGACTACAGAATTTTTTTAAAATATGTATTTTCGAAAAGGAGCTCTGAGACTCTTGTGCATTCTTAAAAAAAGCAATCACGAATCTATGAGATACTTTCAAATTCTTAACAAATTGGGGACCTTCAAGATTTTTTCAATTTAAAAAAATTGGGTCCTCGAAATTCTTACAAAATATTTTCAAAAAGGAAGCACCAGGAGACCTCAAGATTCTTTTGAATTCTTAAAAATATGCCATAAAAATTCCTGAGACATTTTCAAACACGACTTCCCGAAATCCTTTAAAATATCTTCAAAAACAAAGCAGTAGTGAACATCAAGATCCTTTCAAATTCTAAAAACTTACTTTAGGAACAAACTCCTAAGATTCTTTCAATTTTTTCAAAAAAAAAACCGAGATTCCCGAAATTCTTTCAATAATAAAAAAATACCGGGGTCCTTGTGATTTTTTTCTGTCTTTTCAAAAAAAAAGCAGAGAATTAAAAAATTCTCTAAAATATTTTCAAAAACAAAACAGCAGCACTCAAGATTCTTTAAAATCCTTAAATATCTGACAAAAAATCCCTGAGACTATCAAATTAAAAAAAAGGACCTTCCAAGATTCTTTCAGTTTTTTTCAAAAAAATACGATTCCCCGAAATTCTTTGAAATATTTTCAAAAAAAAGCACTAGGAAACGTCAAGACCCTTTGAAATTCTAAAAGCATACATTAGAAACTCCTAAGATTCTTTCTTTTTTTTTCAAAAAAGGGATCTCCGAAATTCTTTAAAATATTTTTAAATTCTTAGAAAATATCAGGAATCCCCAAGATTCTTTTAATAGTTGAAAAACACCAGGGGCCCTTTTGATTTTTTCTGTTTTTTCAGAAAGAGTAAAGAATTAAGAAATTATCTAAAATATTTCCAGAGAACAGCAGCACTTAAGATTCTTTTAAATTCTTAAAACTATGACATCAATAATCCCTGAATTTTTCTCAAATTAAAAAAAAATAGAACTTCCCAAGATTATTTCAATTAAAAAAAATACGATTCCCTGAAATTCTTTGAAATATTTTCAAAAATAAAGCACTAGGGAACCTCAAGATCCTTTAAAATTCTAAAATTATACATTAGGAACTCCTGAGAATATTTCATTTTTTTTTCAAAAAAAAAAAAAAAACGGGATCTCCGAAATTCTTTAAAATATTTTTAAATTCTTAGAAAATATCAGGAATCCCCAAGATTCTTTTAATAATTGAAAAACACCAGGGGCCCTTTTGATTTTTTCTGTTTTTTCAAAAAGAGTAAAGAACTAAGAAATTATCTAAAATATTTTCAGACAACAGCACTCAAGATTCTTTTAAATCCTTAAAAATATGACATCAAAAATCCCTGAAACTTTCTCAAATTATAAAAAAAATAGAACTTCCCAAGATTATTTCAATTAAAAAAAAAAATACGATTCCCTGAAATTCTTTGAAATATTTTCAAAAATAAAGCACTAGGGAACCTCAAGATCCTTTAAAATTCTAAAATTATACATTAGGAACTCCTGAGAATATTTCATTTTTTTTTCAAAAAAAAAAAAAACGGGATCTCCGAAATTCTTTAAAATATTTTTAAATTCTTTGAAAATATCAGGAATCCCCAAGATTCTTTTAATAATTGAAAAACACCAGGGGCCCTTGTGATTTTTTCTGTTTTTTTCAAAAAGAGCAAAGAACTAAGAAATTATCTAAAATATTTTCAGACAACAGCAGCACTCAAGATTCTTTTAAATCCTTAAAAATATGACATCAAAAATCCCTGAAACTTTCTCAAATTATAAAAAAATAGAACTTCCCAAGATTATTTCAATTAAAAAAAAATACGATTCCCTGAAATTCTTTGAAATATTTTCAAAAATAAAGCACTAGGGAACCTCAAGATCTTTTCAAATTCTAAAAGTATACATTAGGAACTCCTAAGATTCTTTCATTTTTTTTTTTTCAAAAAAAAAAACGGGATCTCCGAAATTCTTTAAAATATTTTTAAATTCTTAGAAAATATCAGGAATCCCCAAGATTCTTTTAAGAATTGAAAAACACCAGGGGCCCTTTCGATTTTTTCTGTTTTTTCAAAAAGAGTAAAGAACTAAGAAATTATCTAAAATATTTTCAGACAACAGCACTCAAGATTCTTTTAAATCCTTAAAAATATGACATCAAAAATCCCTGAAACTTTCTCAAATTAAAAAAAAATAGAACTTCCCAAGATTATTTCAATTAAAAAAAAAATACGATTCCCTGAAATTCTTTGAAATATTTTCAAAAATAAAGCACTAGGGAACCTCAAGATCTTTTCAAATTCTAAAAGTATACATTAGGAACTCCTACGATTCTTTCATTTTTTTTTCAAAAAAAAAAAAACGGGATCTCCGAAATTCTTTAAAATATTTTTAAATTTTTAGAAAATATCAGGAATTCCCAAGATTCGTTTAATAATTGAAAAACACCAGGGGCCCTTTTGATTTTTTCTGTTTTTTCAAAAAGAGTAAAGAACTAAGAAATTATCTAAAATATTTTCAGACAACAGCAGCACTCAAGATTCTTTTAAATCCTTAAAAATATGACATCAAAAATCCCTGAAACTTTCTCAAAATAAAAAAAAATAGAACTTCCCAAGATTATTTCAATTAAAAAAAAAATACGATTCCCTGAAATTCTTTGAAATATTTTCAAAAATAAAGCACTAGGGAATCTCAAGATCCTTTAAAATTCTAAAAGTATACATTAGGAACTCCTCAGAATATTTCATTTTTTTTCAAAAAAAAAAACGGGATCTCCGAAATTCTTTAAAATATTTTTAAATTTTTAGAAAATATCAGGAATCCCCAAGATTCTTTTAATAATTGAAAAACACCAGAGGCCCTTGTGATTTTTTCTGTTTTTTTCAAAAATATCAAAGAACTAAGAAATTATCTAAAATATTTTCAGACAACAGCAGCACTCAAGATTCTTTTAAATTCATAAAACTATGACATCAATAATCCCTCAAACTTTCTCAAATTAAAAAAAAAATAGAACTTCCCAAGATTATATCAATTAAAAAAAAAATACCGTACCCTGAAATTCTTTAAAATACTTTCAAAAATAAAGCACTAGAGAACTTCAAGATCCTTTCAAATTCTAAAAGTATACATTAGGAACTCCTAAGATTATTTCATTTTTTTCAAAAAAAAAAAACGGGATCTCCGAAATTCTTTAAAATATTTTTAAATTCTTATAAAATATCAGGATTCCTCGAGATTCATTCAATAATTGAAAAACAACAAAAAAAAGCAGAGAACTAAGAAATTGTCTAAAATATTTTCAAAAACAAAACAACAGCAACCCTCAAGATTCTTTTAAATCCTTAAAAATATGACATTAAAAATCCGTGAGACCCCTTCAAATTCTTTAAAAAAAAATTGAATTTCCCTAGGTTCTTTCAATTTTTTTCAAAAAAATTTAAAATTTAAAATTGAAAAATTAAAATAACAAAAAATTGGAGAATCGAAAACTTGAAAAGTCGAGAAATCGGAACATCGAAAAATTGGACAATCGAGGAGAAGCTGAAAAATCGAAAAACCGAGAAATCGAAAAATGAAAAGATCCAAAAATTTCAAAAACTAAAATATTCGGAAATCGAAACATCAAAATATCGAGAAATCCAAAAGTCGAGGAGTCAAAAATGGAAAAATTGAAAAATTTACAGTTAAAAAAACTGTAAATAGAAAAATTGTAAAATTGAGAAACCGAAACATCAAAACATGGAAAAATTGAAAAATCTAAGATTTCAAATTTGAAGATATAAAAAATCGAGAAATGGAAAGTCGAATAATTGAATAATCGAAATATTGAATAGTCCCAAAATTAAAATCGAGAAATCGAGAAGTAGAAAACTGAAATTTCGAAAAATTGAGAAATCGAGAAATCGAAACTTCAAAAGATCGAAATTTGAAAAATCTAAAAATCTAAAAAATACATTAGAAACCCTTTAGATTCTTTCAATTTAAAAAAAAATAATATTTTCAAATACAAAACGCTAAAGGCTTTGAAGATTCTTGTACGTCCTTAAAAATATGACATCAAAAATTCCTGAAACTTTCTCAAATTAAAAAAGAATAGAACTTCCCAAGATTATATCAATTAAAAAA